CAAACTCCATATAATCATCTCAGTTACAGCTGCCTTTCTCTCATGTTCCTCTTCAAACAAAATTGTTCTTGTTAAACAACATGGGTGATAGAGATATTGATGTTGGTATATTTGCTTTCAATTTAAGGGGGGGGAAAAAAAAAGAAAATATTTCTCCCCTATGCTGTGTGAGTTGTTTCAGTCCTCCTGATGGGTAGTTCAAGGTTGGCTGGTCTTTCCTTGAAATCTGAAGAAGAGTGTACTGGCAATACTGGGGATGCAGTACATTGATTCTTTAAATAGGGGCCAGAAGACACACACAGTACCTGTGCTACAGTATTCCCCGTATTTATGTCAGTTCCTTGGTGTGAGCAGTAGGACGCTGCTGGCTCAAAGTCACAGGGAAGGGCCCCCAAAGAGATGGGGTGCTCACTCTGACCCGTCGCAGCTGCAATCCCACTGTGCTGAGCCAACCACGGCGTTTCCTGTGGGCATGCCTTGTTGTGTGTGGAACAGGACAGTGCTGGGGAGATGGGGGAAAAAGCAAAAGTCTGGGGTGTTTGAGACTGAGCTAGAGTGAGGAAGAGGTGAAGAGTCAGCCATGCTAGGCTGTGCTCTCTATTCCTGTCACAGACACTGTTTGACCTGCTCTCATCTCTGTCTCTCGGTGTAACCTACCTATCATGGTGGTCAGTCTCAGATGCAGTTATTATTAAGGATGTGACTGTCACATATCACCCGATGCCTTACAAAGCAAATAAGTAAATGAATATTTGTTGCTCCTCCTGTGCCTCCAGATTGGAAAAGGAAGGCATGTTGGAGACCTGTCAGGAGGGGCCCGTTGAGCTCCTGTCCCTGCACCTTGGGAATTAGGGTGATGTGAAGTGTCTAGAAAGAAACAACCACCCCTTTCCATAGCCTTCAGACCTGCTGCTGCCCTCGCAGTGTTCAGAAGGGTCCGTTGGTGGTGTTTGCTGTGAGGCTTTTCTCTTTAGTTTCAAAAGATAGAAGATAAGCAGCTATCACACAGCTAAAGTTGTCTTGCTAGTTAGAGCAGTAAAAAGGTACAGAACAGATTTATGCAAAAGGCAGGTAAAACACAGAAGAGAATTCTCCAGAGGGAATTTCTCCTTGTGCTCCATGAGCTGTATTTTAAAAGCAAGCCCAAGTTACAAAACCCTTCCTTCAGAGGAGCCATTTTGACATGGGCCATTTTATTGCCCTGTGGTTCTCTGCTGTTGGTGATGGTCCACCAGTATTAACTGATACTGATAATTACTGATTTCACTGGTGTAAGGTAAGCTTCACTATGAAACTGGTACAGGTCAGGGTCTTCACTCCAAGAAGCAAATGCACTGAATGCTGGAGGTAGTGCTATCTTTTTATGTGGGTCTACTTTAGCACTGGGGAGAGGTGACCCCCCCTGCATGACAGCCACCTCACACCAAAGCACCGTGTCAGCAGCTCAGCTGTGAATTAGGAAAGTAGGAACAAGCAAGTGTGGGACATTGCTTTTAGGAAAGAGTCAATCTGACCCTGTAGGAGGAATGTGGCTGCACTTGGTCATGCATAAAAGCTTGATGTGACTTGGTGAAATTCAGTGCTGTTGTGGTGCTTCCTGGCAAAGTGAGTTTTGTGTGATCCAGGACATTGTAGTGGTTTTGTAAGTGTGTGGCATGGAATCGTTTTGAGGCACTGCTCATCTGAGTGAGTAAATGAGCCCACTGAACATGGCAGGCGTATTTCTCCACTCGAAGTTAAATCCCTGTGCAAGTCTGATGTTGAATTAGGCTTGGAAATGTGAATGATGTCTACCAAAGAATGGAGAGGAAAAGTAGAACAAGGTGAGGGAAATCCTTTGGGAGGGTGGCAGCTCTGCTCCTATACAGTGGCACCTGGTCCAGGAGAAGATGGGAGCACTTGGTACATAGCACTGTGGCAGCCATTCATGTCTTGGTGTGTGAAGTGGTAATGGTCAAATGTATTGCACCAGAGTCAGCTCAGGAAGGAAAGAGTGCATGCGTCAGTGATGTGGGATGTGTGCATGGTCACAATGTGATACCCCATTTTCATTCGTGTTTGATACGGTGCAATAAAATGTAGGGTAAATGAATACAGATGCAAATGTTCTCATGGGAATTGCATATGTAGGCTTTTAAGATTTACCACTAGTCATGTAAACAGGACAATAACTGCCATAGAGAGCTAACGCCAATTTCTACACGTGTTTGCAGAGCACAGAATTTCTGGGGAAAAAAATGGAAAAGTGAACATTGCACAGCCCCTAAAAGCTCCTAAAACTTTTCCATTAAGTCTCAATATCTCATGAACTCTTATGATAGAATAGATAGACAGAATTGGCAGTGCCTAGGTAGCTAAGGGAAGCTTCCTTTTTATGTGTATATACACATATCTGCACATATGCATGGATGCATTTTGGAGCCTGTCATCAAGAGGGAAAGGAATTTAGAAGGGGAAAAATATAAATTGAAGCCTTTTTTTTCTCCTTTCCTTTCCTTTTTTTTTCTTTTTTTTTTTCTTTTTTTTTTCCCCATTTCCCCTGCTGTTGCAAATTGTAGCTTCTGAAAGCTTTGTCCTGACAAAATGAGAACTAAACAGGTGTGTGCTTTAGAAACTTTACCTAACGAGGGTACTGGTGCAAGGTGGTCACACTTTTGCGTTGCTTGGAGTGTTTCATGCTGCCTGCACACAGGAAGGAGAATCAGTTATCCTCAGTTGGTAGCAAAGACACACAGTGTTCCCCCTCATCCATGCCAAAGTTCAAAGACGCCCTGTAATTTCACATGGCCCACATAAAGGGGGGAATTTATTCCTAATTTAAAAGCATACAAAAGGGCAAATGCAGCAACTGTTTTTTCCTTAGAGCTTGCATAGGAGAATAATTAAAGGCAAGCATCATATTTTATCGGCAATATATTGGTTTGCACGTAGAATTCCTTTGTTGCAAATTACAGAACCAGAGGCCTGATCCTGCTATAAGGGCATTTAATGGCATATTTCCTATTTATTTCAGAAAGAAAGAGCAGACCACAGCTTAACATGTGACAGGTAGATCTGCTCCTTTAGAAGGAGGTTGCCTGTTGCTTTTAGGCTCCCAATTTCTGCTTCCTTGCCGTCCTGGGAAAAAAGATGGCCACAAATTGTACATCTTAGAAGGATAATGGGGATTTTTTATAAATATAAATATTGTCTTGAACATTGCTGAACCCAAAATATAAAAGATTGGGCCAGTGAATGAAAGTGAAACTGTCTGAGAGCAAAAGTGAAACCAACAGGCAACTTTCACTGTCCAGGCTGTGTGAAATGCAGAGAAGCAAATCCTAAACAGGTGATGCTGAACTGTAAATTTGAATTTTAAAAATTTATTCACTTTTATTAGTGTAAGAAAGTGTTGCTAGTGATCTAGATAAAGATTTCCCCTCCAGCATAGGTGCTTTTCTTGATGGTTATCACCTTAAAAAGGCAGAATTGATAAGAAATGACTTCTTTTTTCTTTGTGATGTTAAGGGACATCCCCTTGTGTCACCCCCTTTTCCCTCTTCATGCCTTGATCCCAAGCTTTGAGTCATTTACACAAGTATGCTGACAGGAGCATGCATCAAAGCTGCAGGAAGCTCACCTTGCTTTGCAAAAATGGGTGCCTATAACCTGCACATTTCTGGAGGAGGAGAAAAATATGTAGCTGTAAAAATATATGAAAACGATGGTAGAATGTGTATAATCTGTAAAATACCAAAAAAGAGAGAGGCAGCATAGCAAATGTGAGAAAGAGATGCTTACTTCTTCCTGCTTGGTCTGATAGGATCAGTAGGAGAGAACTGTGCAGAAAAGTGAGCAAAGAGCAGCAGCAAAGGGTAAAAAAGAATGAAAAAAAAATAAAAGAAAGCAGAAAGCATGGAGTGTCATAGAGAAAAAGTGAAAATGGAGGGAATGTATGGTTTAGGTATGTTAACCTCATGTAAAGTGCTTCCTTGGTTCACTTCTGTCAATGTCTGGGAAACTAGGTGGAAAAACACACGTGGCAACAGTCTGTTAGGATCTAGACAGTATGAGGAGGGGAATATATATGGAAGAAGAAGAGTAAAAGATGGAAGAAAAGATTTCAACATGGGCAGATCTTTCTTTTTGCCTGAAGAGAAAAAAAAAATGCAATTCAGTCATAAATACTACGCTGACCATTGAGGTTTTCTGACCGTGGCTTTCATTGATAATGTTTGTTCAATGACAAACTGAAACAAGGGATTTTGGGAGGATTTAGTATGTCGTGAATTTGTATTCATTATCTTACCTGATTGTTTTTTTTTTCTCTCGTATTTGTTCCAAAAGGTGCAGAGGCAAAAAGGGTGTAAAAGTGTTGTCTAGGCAGTGATTTTAGCTGGTAGCCTTCTTGCAGGTGAAGGGAGGAGATAGAAGCCTCCAGCCTGCAGATCTGTGTATATTCTGCATTGTAACAAATAAATACGCTGTAACACAAATGCTAGAAAAATGGGTAGAGCAAACACTGCGTTTCTCTGGGAAGGTATTCAACTGTTGAAACAGAGGAGGGAAAAGTTGCTCTCGGAAGAAATATCTCAGGATTCTGTCCGTCATATAAATGCCTTAAAAAAAAAAAAATTAAAAAAAAATTTTAAAAAAATCAGATCTCCATCTATGTAAAAATAAGTGATATTTTTTCTGTTTTTCAATATAAGGTCAAGCGATTTGCAGACTAAGTGATGCAAATGAGATACAGCATGCAGCAGTACACAGGCCTCTGAGAACTCAGGAACTGGTTTGGAGGCTCTGGAAGTCCTGCACAACATGAGGGGGGTGATTTTTAACACATCTACCTGACTTACCAAAACAGATTTGATGGCCTCAGTTAGAATGTAATAGGAGTTTTTTTAAGATGCTTTTTAGCCTAAGAGGTACAAAAGCTTGTGAGGGCCAGACAGTTTGAATGATCAGAAATGGGCCTAAACACTGGAATAATTGTAATGTGTTTTCTCTTATGTTGCAAGGAACGTGGTGCAGCCTCTGCTTCGGACAGGAGGATGTTCGTCCCAGGAGAAGGAGCATCAGTTCTCAGGTAACGTGCTGCTACTTGTGGCATTCCACGCGGAGAGAAAATAACTTTTCTATTAGGGCTAAATAGTGCCCGACCCTTTGGCCTTTTCGGTTCTGTAGTTTATCGGTGACATTTTGCAGAAGCCTAAAGATTCCTGCTTTATTTTGGGAGAGGTGAGGAGGCCAAGTGTTGTGAGGGAGGGCAGCAAATATGAAGCCCTGCTGAAGCCTGGTCGGTTGCGTGAGAACAGCAGAGCTGACGGTGTTATTTGGTATTTTCCCATTAAAACATGCAGAGGATAGGATGTTACAGAAGGGCTGATGTGTTTGTTAGCTGGGGTGTGTGTTTCAGTTCACCTCGTATTAAAATGCAAAGTGAATTTGAAGTGGATGCTGTAGTTTGTGTTTGGTCAAAGACAGGGCTAAAAAGAAATAATTCTTTCTAATTGTTTGTGGCTTATTTTCTTGTGCTGACAAATATATTTGGTGTGGTCGCAATTAAAAATATTCTGTTTCGATTAAATTGAGGGACGGATACTTGTTTTGGAAGCATGCTGGTTAATTAAACAAGAGTTACTAAATGGCAGAAAAGCTACAGGCAGGATGCTTTCTGACGATATGCAGTTCCTCGGGCTGAAATTAGTCACTAAGCAAAATTTTCTGATGAGGAAGGAGACGATATTTTGAAGATATTGTATACTTTGTGTGAACTTCTTATACACCAATAGAGAGAGGAGCTGTGTTAAAGTGTTGGTCGTGCTGTTGTGTTGCGTACGGTACCTCGCTTGTTCTTTCTGGTTTGGATTCCTTGTCCAACTCTGATAATTTAGACAAGACAGAAATGTAAATTCTGTTTACCAAATCGGATGTTTGCAGCATTGAAAAAAGAGAGAGATTAAAAATGGTTTGAAGTCTTTAAAATCTGTAATGTTGTTCTGTAGCCTTTCAAAAGGGGGAAAAAAAAAATCAAAATAGCCAAATTTTCACTACCAAAATAATATACAATATCTAAAAACAATATAAATTGCTATTAGAAAGGCTTTGAAATAAATGATACGTTCAAACAGAAAGACAGGGCTTTGCAGTATTTTTCTTCCCAAATTCTCCCTCCTTTTTGGAAAAGCAAATTGGAAGATTTATTTCAAATATCACATGAAAAAACAAATACAATTGAAATGAAACATTACGCTCAGTATTTGGTGAAATTTGTTGTCTTCTAAGTATTTGGTTTTTTAACTGCAAGCGCTCTGGAACAGTTCATATCTCAAAGTTTGTGGGGAGAAAATGTTTCAGCATTTTTATTCATACCTGGGGAATCCATTTTAGAAGTCCATTTTCTCTATTTGCAAAATACATTTTTATTAGATCAATGTATTTGGGTTAAGACTTACTTAAAATTACTTAATTAGGTTACACTGAAATTCTAAGTGATTTAAAAAGAAGGATTATGGTAATATGACAAAACATAACACTATTTTCATTGAGATCCTTAAATAAAGCCCTTTTAACATGCCAATTTAAAAAATCTATAAATTTGGGGTGTTGAAACAGTACAAAATATAAAAAGGCCGAACTCGTAGTAAAATATATAATCCTGTACCAGTGCAGGGATTTTGGAACTATGTCTGGAATATGGGAGGAGGTCATTGACACCTTTGGTTTGTTCGGGGGCATTTCTCTCGCTGTATCATCCTCTGTAAGTCTTTGCTATATATATGTAAAATACTTACAAAATGTTTGTGGCTGTTTGGTAAGGAGAAAATGCAGAGAAAGAGATAACAGTGTAAGTGCGCTGAGCTAGATGGAATCGGTTGTGTTTTCCAAGGAAATTTTGGAAAATCTGCCCAAGTAAAAATTGCTACAACGAGGGATAAATTCTAAATAATTGTGTTTGTGCTGTTTGGAATAGCGTGGCTGCAAATTGTCATTAAAAACCTTCTTGTAAGTCTCGGAAACAGGACAGCAGAAAAAGCCTTTCCAATTGTGCTTTCTGTGGATTAAGTTGTTGGCTCGTAGGCTGATTTTTGGGAGCAAGATATTAAAAAATACACTTAAAAAAAAAAAAAAGCTGTATATGAGGTTCTATTATCAGTGGGTTTGTTTTGTTTTTTGTTTTTTGGGTGTTTTTTTTTTGTATTTTGAGAAAAGGAAAATCCGTGAGTGTTACTTTGCTCTGTATTGTTTATGGTCTAAGGCAAATAATAAATCTGTGGAGATTATGTTTTTTTTTTAAGCAATATTTATGCGAAAAGCCCAGCAGTGAGCTTCCTTTAGTTGGTATCTTAATTTCGGAGACGTAGCAGAACATTTCTGGCTATTTGCGTTTGTTGCAGGGCCGGAGCAGGAGGCAGCCCTGTGTAGTCTGTCAGGCAGCACACGTCTGAGCATGTTACAGTTTGTAGCACTACGAATTAGAGCCGTTGGAGTTGTATTGCCGTACGGTGCTCTTTTAAAAACGCTGGTAACCGGGCAGGTGTGCGGGACAGGGCTGGGACACAGCAGGGGGTGCCGGGGCAGGTGACTCCGTGGCTGTCGCAGTGGGGTGCTGCCGGGAGGGGCCCTGCCGTCCCCTGCGCTGGGCCAACTCGGAGCTGGGTGCCGGGGGCGTGGGTGATTTTTGGCTGGCACCGACCGGGCTGTTTGCGTGCTCGTACCCGGTGCGGTGCTTGTGTGCTTGGCGTAAGGCAGGAGCTGGGAAACGCTGCACGTGTGAACGGTACGTGTGCTGGGCACCTGTATGGAGCGTTTGGGAAAGGGGAGAGGGCACGACAGCTCGACGGAGCCTCGCGCTGCTCTCGCTGCAGGAAAACACAGCGTTCTTGATAACTTTGTTGCAAAGTTTTGGGGGGGCTCGCCTGGCTGCTTCCGAGTTAATTCACTCAGCAGCATCAGTGTCGTGAAAACAGTTCGGAACAAAGCAAAAGATGCGGAGCAGGATCCGTCACCGGTCGTTCGCTAACCGGGGGGAGCGGGCAGTCACCGAGCCCGGCGCGGCCCGCACTGAGCGGCCGGGCTGCTAAGAGCAGAGCCGCGGGCAGAGCACAGCACAGCCGCCAGCGTGGCCGGGCCGGGCCGCTCGGAGCACGGACGGCGGGCCGCACCGCACAGCACCGGGCCGCGCCTCCAGGGCCCGCAGGGAGCAAGGCCCGGTGCCGGCGGCCCGGCCGAGAGGGAGCGGGGTCGGGGGGGCGGCGAGAGGCCGGCCCGGCCGCGGGGCCAACCCGGCGCCGCAGAGGGTTAACGCGGGCGGCTGGGAGTTGTAGGCGCCGCGGCATGCCGGGAGCTGTCGTAAACGCCGCCGCCGCGCCGCGCCACCGGCATGGCGGCTCGGGAGCTCGGTGGAGGGGGAGCGGAGCCTTCCTTCCCTGCGCTGGGAGTGGGGCTGCCCGGCCCTTCCTCGGCGGCTGCCCGGATCTCGACCGGCTCCGCGGCGGGGCCGAGCGGGGGGCTGCGGGCGGCGGGCGGCGGGGGGACGGATCCGAGAAGCTGGCGGGACTCGGCAGTAGGGATGTTTGGTCTGAGGACGAGCTGAGGAGGGAAGCGGCTTGTAAACAAGAGGAGTTAGAGTGAGGAAATGCTGCAGCGCGAAGCTGGGAGACGGCATCGACAGAGGGGAGGCTCGGAACGTCCGTGTGCCGACAAGATGAAGTAAAGCTAAGATTAATGGGATTCGGTGATGCAAATAGAAGGCAACGGCGATCTGTTCAAGTAGAGCTCCCCGGCTTGGCAGTGGATTAGGGGTCGGAGCGGTAGGCAGCAGGATGGCAGCGTGCTGCTGCTGTGAGGGGCTCAGAAAGTACGTGAGTAAAAAGGCCGCCCTCTGGAATGTGCTGCGGGAGGGCCTCCGTCGGCTGTGCAAAATATGGATGTCGGAGTGCATGGCTGCCGAGTCCTTATCTGCAGCCCGGCTGATCGCCCACGTTCAGATAAACGATTCTGAACAGATGCAGAATAGGGCTGTGGATGTTAAGAAGAATGAAGAGTCTGCTTGCTGAGAGACAGGAAAGTTGAAAGTTGTGTGGTTTTTATGTATGGGAGGAAAGGAACTTGCAAGCTCAAGGTTAGCATAAGCAAGCTTGAAGAAAGTGAATGCAGTTCACTGGAAATAGCAAGAAAAGTTCTCACTGTTGTTCTGTAAATGCTCTGGAGAGGTTTCAAATGGGCGAGAAAACTCAATTGCTTTTGAAATAAAGTTTGAAAAATTCAGAAAAGAAGATCAGTGTGTGGCTCTGCAGAGCAGTGGGGAGTTTGGCTCAGGAATCCTGAATGTCCCATCTATTAGTTCAGTGCTCTTGTGACCCATGAGTACTTCTGCAGTGGGCCCATTTTGATACGGCTGTTGTCATCATGCTTTCCTTTTCCATTATTCAAGCATTTTTTTTTTCTTTGGGACCCTTACCAGAAGCAGAGTACTTCAATTGTATTCACTCCCAGATGCATCTCATGTGTACGTTCGGCATTATGCTCACAGCAAGGAAGCTGTGCTCTTTACCTTGCTCACTCCAACCTATGAATTTTCTGTACATTTCCCCCCTTATATATCGAATAACTGTTGAGGTGTACTCACACAGCTCTGCAGGACTTTCTGTACCTGGATGTGCTATTAGTAGAAGTGGAACCACTCATATTCTCATGGAACAATTTTTAGGAAAACGTTTAAATGAAAAACTTGAAGTCTTCTAGGGCAAGGCAATATTGCATTCATGAATGTGTGTACAATCAGCTCCCTTGTGATGTTACCTGAGACCTTATATCTTTCTTCTGCTTTTTTTTTTAGTGTCTGTAGTTTTTACATTCCGCACTTAGTGCAGCATCAAAAAGTTAACAGAAGAACGTTGGCATTACAGAATGTTGCTCTTTCAGACCAAGCCTGCCATGGTCCAGGCAGACATTTTAGATTCCTTCCTGGCACCATTGCTATCTGGGAAATCTCCATAACACAGGAAATTAAACAATCATTGCTCAGCCGTCCTTTTTCATTTTTATCTTATAGTCCACAACTGATCCAGGTTATTCAGAGAGAAAAATAAGTGTTACGGAGGTAACATCCCACTCGGTGGTCAGTAGAAAACTAAGTGATCACATCACTCTCTTCATCAACGCATGCGTTAAGTGCTTCCAGTGGCTCTTTTTCTAGTTGCTGAAACCGAGTAGTGAATAGATTATAGGGATTAAACTTCTTTCATTCCCCTGGAGGTGAGCAAGTCATGTGAAAATGAAAGGCTTGTTTGGTAGGAGACAGTATGAAAGACTGGGAATACAAATATATATATATTATCTCTAAATGGCTTCTTGCACACTTTGTCTTTAACAGACGGTAGTATGTGAGCTGCAGATAGAAACTTGAGGCTTACAGGGCAGAAATGTGACTGAACTAAATCTATGAGTATGGAATGAAACGTGCTTGGTCATTATTGAAACTGGATTCCTGAAACGTTTTTCTTTTATCATAAGTTTGATTTTTCTGAAGAAAAATACAGCTGTCCATAGCATATGCTTTCTCTTCTCTTGACCTTTTTGAATTAGAGGGAAGTTGTTGTCTTTCCCACTGTAATGCTGGGAACACAGTACAGGGGCTACAGCAAAGGAAGGTTTTCTGACTTGATGTGCTCAGATCATCCTACAAGGCATTCCACTGCAAAAGGAGGGACTTTCATTGGTGTCACTACTTACTGTCCTCCTCTTGTGTTGATGTTTCCAGGGGGATAGTGTTTCTTACCCCCTGAATAGGTGGCCTTCTGCATGGGAGCATTATTACGGTGTCTTTTGTCTTTTATATAGCTTACTTCCTCATACTCCAAGAATGAAAAAACAGTCGAAGGAGAGAGGAAATGATAGGGTAGCTCCCTTAGAAGAGCCTCTCCTAGGAAAAAATAGCTCAGAACCCCTAAAATGATCATACAGTTGGTACAAAAGCTGCTGGTTGTTGTTGTTATAGCAGCATCTACAGGAATAGAAATAGCAAGAAGAGAAATAGAAAGGCTGGCATTCCCTCGCTTTCCAACTTGTGAAAATTTTAGGAAGGAAATTTACATATTTTGGAGCTACTATTTCTGCAGTGCCTTCTTATGCAGAAGCTTACCTCGAAATTTAATCAGGCTGTCCTAATAGGTGAAAATACTATCTGTACTCATTTAAGAGTGGGGGTGGTCGTTTCTGTCTCAGGTGTTTCTGTGGGAGGAGTTCAAATGATTGCCACCATTCTTAACTGTTGTTAAGGGAGATGGCAGTTTGATTTAAGCTATGAAGGTGTAATGAGTTTTGCTCTCCCACCATCTTGCACAAAGAAGCACTCAGAGAGGACAGACTTAAGCAGTTTGAGCCAGGCAGTGATCTGCTACCATAAATTCCCCAGCATTGTATTGCCCTTTGATGCTTCAGTTACAGTCCATGAATGGAAGACTGGAACACGTGGATGACTTTTTGGCATCTGAAGCTGCCGAGTTGCCTGCTTGTGATGTTGGAGAAAGGATCTCCTCCTGTTCCAGACCCCACATTTATCTGCCTCTTAAGGATGTGCAACAGATTTTCTCTTCTGTCCCTATTAGTGCCGTAGTTAATTCTGTGCCCTGCTGTTTCCTCACATCTAACCATGAGAGACACATCTTGCTTTATGGGCATTCTTTGAAGCATAATTCATGGTTGTGAAATACCGGCAGTGGCCAAGACAGAAAACCTTCTCAGATTCTGGAGGGGCATCCAGTGTGTGAATGTTTAAGGAAGCACTAAAGGAACAAGGGCTTTTCTAAAGGATCTGATGACAAAGCTATTCCACTTGAATATAGGAAAAGGGTAGTAGTTCTGTGGGAGAGATGAAGCGCTGTGTGATTCCTGCCCCAAAGATAGGATCCAGCTGGTGCTAGGCAGAGTCTGTCAATGACAGCAGTTGGATTGGGTGGAGGTGGGTGGAGGGCTTGGGCACAGTTTCACACTCAATACACTCCACAAAAGGATTCAGTGGAAGAGGGATGAGAGTGGTGAAAAGGTGGTCATAGATGAGGAGAAAAAGGTTTCTTACCAAACGTAGTCCACCATCTGGGTCTGAAAGTGACTTCATCATGCAAGATGACACTGCGTGCTGGTAGTGGCATGAGGAACACACATTCCTGAACTTTGTTCATTTTATATGGACAAATATCTGTATCCCTTATCTACAGTTACAAAACTAGATAGCAGAGACATCAAGGATTAAACAATGAGAACACAATATTTTGTTTCCACAGATGATATTTTCAGCTCAAAATCAATACATTTCAATGGGCTGTAGGATTGAGAAAGGTTAATCTTCTATTGCTTCAGCCCGTACTGTGTGTCTTTGCTGAAGATGTTCTGTGCTTGGATTTCTGCAGCATGCACAACTATTAGGGTTGTTTTGAAGAAATACTTGCTTGATTTTTAGCGCTGTTGGTGATTGAAAAAACAAACCACCAAACTTTCATATGTATGTTTTACTCAAAGTTTTTCCAGTTTTGCATGAGGAGTGGATCTGGAGCCTCGTAATAATCTCATTGTAATAATTTATGAGAACTCTGAACAGGGAATGGAAAAAAAATAAAGGAATTATGAGGTTTAGCAAGAGACAGCAGAGCTCACTTGCTAACTAGGGTGGGAAGAAGTAAAAAATCCCTATATAAAGTACTAGAAGTTTATAGTGCTGTTAATGTTGTTTCTTGTTCTATTTAAAAAGAAATGGAGTGGACCTATTTATAAAGATCAGTGTTTACCTGTATGATGAATTACAAGCTGTAGACTTGACTAGTTAATATGCAAACAACTGTCTTGCTTTCATTTCTGATCAGCGTCCATTGGTACGTTTATCTGGCGTGATTAGTTGTTGAGAAATATGGGACTTTAATCCCTAAAGCATGAGGGTGTGCTGATGATGCCTCCATTTCTTTTAAGAAACAAGAAGATATGTGCAATTGTAGCACAGTGTGGTAACCTAAGAAGCCTCAATGATTTAGTTTGAAAGACTTGTGTTTCAGGCTTGTGTTTAAAGGTTCCTGTCCTGATAGAAGCTATAGTCAAAGGTGTGAAAATGCAGGATTAGAGAAACGTTCCAATGAGAAATTGTGCCTGTTTGCTGGTACAGGTGCTTTCAGGAAGGGAAGGGAATACTGATTTTTTGAGTTCTTTTTGCATGAGCCCTGTAAAAGGGATGGAGGAGGTGCCTAAGAAAAGTCTCAGGACTGGGAATCCCAAGCAAGTTAGCTTACTTCAACCTGGAGCTGGGATCCATGTATGAAGAGTCCTGAGAAATGTATTGAACTGTCCATCTGATTCCTGTAAAGAGTTTTTCACTTTAACTAGGCTTGTCAGATCCCATTCTTATATGCTCTTCTGCATTATACACTGAGGCAGGGTGTCTAATTTGGAGCCTTGGATTTGGGCAGAGAAAAAGTGTAGGGCTCAGTGGTGCAGTAGCCGGGCCCTGTACTGGATCTGGCCTCACTGCAGTGTGTGTGAGTAATGGTAACGGAGTCATAAGAACAGAATGACTGTACAGGGGAGAGAGCTGCACTTGACTTGCTAGGGTGAAAAACATATTTGTAAAGGGATTCAATTAGTGTTGGGTACAAGAATGCCACTTAGTGAAACAAGCGACTGTACCTCTTTTTCAGCGGCAGAGAAAAGTGACACATCCTGGATAACCAGCAGTCCCCGTTCCTATTCTCAGTGTCCCTGCAGAGCTGATGGCACCGCGGGCTGGGTTAGTCAGAGCCGAGCGAGGGATGAGTGCCAGCCCCAGTGTGCTGTGCTGCCTGGCCACCCGGCTGCGTGTCCAGCCTGCCAGTGCGGGGGATTCCCGGCTGTGGGGCCTGCAGGGAGGGGCCTTCAGTATTTTGGGAGCAAGGTGGGAGGGAGTGAGCACGTGAGAGGGGTTGCAGTGTGATCTCACCGAGATGTGGGGCTGCCTAGGAGGTACTTGCGTGCCAGCAAGGTCACAGGAGATCTTGAAAGTAACAATTGGATATCTCTAGTGTTTGGTTGTGCCCTATTCATTCTGGTTTATTTCTCCTTTTTGCCTTCTTTAGACTTCTCCCTGCCTATAGCTCTGCCTCCCTATAGTTCATTTGCTGTTTTACTCACACATGTACTTACCCTTTTAGCTTTCCTAACTTCTTTCTCTGTTATCTCTCCTGTGATCTGCCACACAGTTGAGCCACCTTCCATGTGATGGAGCAATGTAGCTAAGCTGTAGGTTGCCTTACACTTGCAACACTGCAACCCCAAGGGAGATTGCATCTGCAGAGATCTGCCTTCATGCCTGGATTGATAAGTGACGCTGGGGAAGCATCTTGGCAAGGTATTCCCATACATGTGTGTGCATGTTGCTGTGTGAGCTCATTCAAAATGTCCGTCAGCTCTATCAGCTCAGCTGACTGGAGGCTCTTTCAGGCTCTGCAGCAGCTGAGGGAAGTGAGAGCAGGGCTGCAGGGCTAGGGGAAGAGCTGAATGCACCCTCAGAAGGGAGATGCCTGTTCCTAGGAATGTATGATGACCTTAAGCCAGAGATCCAAACCCCCTCGCCTGACCTTTGTTTAATTCTTTCCCTTCCAGTGAGTCGCGCTCCCTGCCTGTGACTCATCCTTGTCTAAATGCAGCCTGCAAGCTCTCTGAGGACTGCCTTTCTCTCTGAACAGAGCAACATAAAAAATAGCAACGCTGTTGAATAACCAGTATTATTTTTTAACACAATTTTTTTGAGGACCGCCTTGCTGTATTTGTGCTTCTCTGTCAAGAGATTTATTGGTTCCCCGAGAGAACAGTGGAGCAGCTTCTGTCGTGACCCACAGCAAGAAGGTAGTTCAGGCACGGGCTCAGGGGCAGCACAGCAGCAGTGCCATGGGCAACAGACATTAAAATAGAAGGTGGTAGGCTCTGACAAAGGCCAGAAAATCTTAGCACCCAAGTACTTCCTTCCCCATTTCTGACCCACTGTCTGCATCCCTCTGGAAAATGCGGTGGCCATTATGTGGACATGCAGCTGTTCAGCAGGCTGCCCAGCTTCCTTCTTCCAGCTCATGCCTACACTGTGCTGCCCAATGGGCTGTTGTTCTCCACAAAGACCCTGTCTGTCCAATTACTTTCCATCCTGCGCCTGAGCTCTGGTTCTGTCTGTAACTGGGAGCAGATCTCTTACTGAGCCACAGTGGTTTCTCTTTCCAGATGCTGCTGCAGTATCCTGTCTCCTCATCACGTCGCCCTCTGGAAGACAGAAGTGACGATCAGCGGCGTGCTGCTGTCCTGCAGGCAGTGAAGAACTGCTTTGACAGCTAGCAGGAGAAAACTATGCAATGTAATCACAGCCTGTCTGTGCTCTTTCTAACAATGTATGGTAGCACCCTATTACCAGTGAGGGGATGCTGTGTCCTCCCTCTGATGATCTGTATTCTTCTCCGTTACTGTAACTAAGCTGTTTCTTTCCCACAGCCATGTGTTCCTGCAGAAATAGCAAGGATACCCCACGCAGATTAAGGTTTACAAATTCAGGAGGGGCTTGGACAGAGCAAAAGGAGAATGAAGTAATTCCAAAATATTTGTACTCCAGCTGATAAAACTAGCAGGAGAGCTAATGTTGTGTGGGGTTTGCTGTAGGGTAGAAGGAAACCTGGGGACAAACTGTCTCCTCTTAGACCTGCTATAAGTGCTGTATGATAAAGGTGAATTTCCAAACTTAGCCATAAAGCTGCAGGTCAGCCAGCAGGACAGCGGCTTGTCCCAGTTCCCACTGCAGGCTGTATAGAAGCTGCGTGTTGGATCCGATGGGGTTTGAATCCTACCACAAAAACAATGGCTGTTCTCAAGGTCGGGAGCACAGCTTTCTGTTATGTGGTTTTGAATGGAAGAATTATTGTGTATCTATTTATGTAAAATGGAAAATGTAAAAAAAAAAACATGTATATATATATATATATATATATATATATATACACACTTTTCTTTAATAAATCTACGAAACGAGTCAACCTTTGTTTCCGTTCAGTGTCTTTGGGTTTGGTCCCCTTTTCACTCAGCGACCCATCGCTGGAACCGCGCCAAGGCCACGTTCTGAGCAGCGCAGCGCCCGTAGCGCATCGTGCCCGGCTCCGAAAAACGATCCCTGCCCTAAGGGCGCTCTTTGGGGTCCCGCGAAAGACGCGGTGGGTGGGGGGTGGTAAGTGGGAGAGACGCTGCGTGCGGGCAGGGAAGGGGGGGCCCCCCCCACCAGGTGCGGAGGCAGCCCGCGAGCTCACGGAGGGGGAAGGGAGAGCCTGGGGACGCGCTCGGGCCCGAGGCGGGGCTACGGCATTTTATGAATGGGCTCATATGACGTCAGGAGGGGCGGGAGGAGAGGTTCCTCTTATCGCCAATCCCGCGGGGCCCTCGGAGCGGAGGGCCAACCGGAGCGCGTCCGCCGCGTGACGGCCATCTCCCGCGGCCAATGGCGGTAAGGGAGCGGTGCCGACCACGTGGGGCGCAGGCCGCAAGTAGTACGGGGGCGTGTGGCCGCGCGCTCCCTCCCCCCTCCCTTCCGGCCGCGCTAGAGGAGGGTGGGCGGGGCCGACCGCGTTGCCAGGTTACCGCGTGATCGAGCTGCCCTTCAGCCAACGGCAGCGCGGCGGGGGCGGGAGCGGCGGCGGCTGCGGGCCGGCGGTGGCCGGGAGGGTTCAGTCCCGTCACGGCCGCCTCCGCAGGCAGCATGCTGGCTCCCGCCGCGCTGCCGGCCGCCGGCCTGTTCTACTGGGTGGGCGCGTTGGGCGCCCTGTACGCGGCGGTGCTGGGCGCCTTCCGCCTGCTGAGCGGGCTGCGCGTCTGGGTGCTGGGCGGCGGCCGCGCCGTGGGGCCCCAGCTGGGCGCATGGGCAGGTGGGTGCGCTCCGCGGGGCGGGGGGGGTCCGCGTTCTGTCCGTCTGCGCGTGGGGGAGGCGGTGTCGGGGCGCCGGGGGCGGGAGCGGTGCTTTGAGGGGCAGCGCCGGGACTCGGCGAGGCTGTGGGCGCGCTCGGGACCGCCCCGGTGTCCTCTCGCTCTCCGCTCCCCTGGCTCCGAAGCGCTGCTGAGTGGAGGCAGCCGGAGCGCTGTGGGTCCTCGGAGCCCGACCGACGGTTTCCTGCCGCCGCTCCGTCCCGGTGCTCCGGCGGCGCAGCTCCGGGCCGGGGTGCTGCGGGGAGCCGGCGCGGCCGTAACGCGCGGGGCAGCTCCTGTGCGCGGAGCTGGAAGGGGCCCTGCTCACAACTCGCTCGTCTCTGTACGGCCCCTTCTGAGCGACCACGAGGAGTTGCGAAATTCTGAGCCTCGGCACAGCGGCTCGGATCGAGGCCGCTCGTAAATCCTCGGGCAGCGGGAAGGCTGGCGTGAGGTTTGTGCAGGCGGTGTGAGAAACTGCGAGCGGTGCCTCTCAGACGGAGTCCTTAGGAAGGCTCTGATATAAACTTTTTTCCTGCCCGGTAGGGCAGCGGGGCAGCCTGCGGGTGCTGATGCGCTGTGGGCCCGCAGCAGTGTGGTGGTGTGGGGCACAAAGGGCCCAGCCAGATCTTATCGTGGTCCCTGCGGCGGCCGAGGAGGATCCATACGTGGGTGGACATCGGGCAGTGAGCACCTGCTCCTGGGAGGCGTGAGCTGATGTTCTGGTCAGATTAGTTATGGTGTCACCGCAGCTAGCTAAGGCCCACACCTTCCTTCCAGGTAGGGAAGTGGAGTGCTGGTTGGTAGTGTGGCTGGGAAGGGCCCCCAGCTCCTCTCTCTGCTGTGCACTGCTGTGCCAGCCCTGCGCCTTCGTGAGGCACATCATATGGAGCTACGTGCTTTGTTATTCCCCAGCCACGTCTTCAACCAGTGTGGAGCCCTATGAGAGAGTTCTCTGTTAGTGCTGCATCCGATGGCTGCTGACAGAAACGCTTTCTTTCCCTTTGTCACAATCACGATCTCTGAGCATGAAAGAAGAGGCACACTGGCACAGCTCAGTCCCCACTGCTGTCACTCCCCCTCAGAAGCTTTGTGACGACCGCTCACCCCTTCCGGCCCTTCTGTGCTTTTGGGACTGATTTATGAGTTCTTTCTTTGTTTTCTGAGCAGACTTGTGGTTGCATGCATGCAATTGGCTGTGTGCTGTGTCTGGTTGCTGGTGCTTAGGAAGAGGGGATGTGAGGAGGAGGAGCTACTTGAGCCGCTTTGTACTCAGGGAAAATGAAGTTTGTGCTTCTTTAAATAGCAACCGTAGTTACAAAAGGGTTGTTTCTCTACTATGACACAAATGTTTGAAGGTCTGTGTGGGGCTGTGCTTTTTTCTTCTCCCCCTGTAGTTCACACTGGCTTGGTTTTGGCTTCTCTGTAGTGACCTGGGTTGAGTGGATGTTGTCCCTGTATGGGATCTCTGGGTGCACCTTGTGAGAATACACTGAACTTTGGGTCAGCTGCTCCACAGCTTTAATTTGCCTCATAAATCGATGGCAGAAGCTAAGAATAGTATCTTCCTTCTTTGTAAAACAGTTTAGCTAAATAAACCTCGGTAGGAGCGTGGTGCCAGGGAGCCGCTCTGGTGGATGCAGCACAATGAGGCCATTGCCCTCCCCTGCTCCAGCCAGGCAGGTCAGAAGGTGGAGATTCTGAGGGAAACGGTGCTGAGCTGGGTAGATGTAAATCATCAGCTTTAGGCATTCAAAATACTCCAGTACTCCAAGTCAGAGTGATCATTGATGCCATAAGATTTCTAAAATCTTGGTTGTGTCAATTACTTCATCTTTTTTTCCTCTCTCAAAATGGCAAAGATTTTAATGAGGACATTTAACTGGAAGCCAAGTTTGTTTCAGCGTGGCTCAGAGCACCCTGATCTAGCTGTAGGTGTCCCTGTTCATTGCAGGACAGTTGGGCTAGATGGCCTTTAGGGGTCCCTTCCCACTCAAATGATTCTATGATTCTAAAACCCCAGTTTTCTTTCAGGCCTCGTGATTCCTTAGGACAACGTGCTCTTCTTCCCCACTGCCTTTGGTACAAACGAGTACAAAATAACGAGCAGACATTTAGTGATTACAAAATGTCTGATAGCAATGATGCTTTCTCATGTGGTGAATACAGCTGTACAGTTGTATTGGGGCCAACAAATGTTTGCAAAGATGAGCTTGCCTTAATTAAGCTTCTTGGAGATTATGCAAAAATAACCAAATGTGGGCAACTTGCTCTAGATTTCTTAAAAAAGTATCTGTAAAAGGTCATTAATCAGAGTGGCGCACTCAGCTGCCTCCAATTTTCTATAGGTTGCTTTTAGCCAAAATCCCCACACTCAGCACTGACCCATTCTTTTCCTGCATAAATGCTGAGCAGTAACTTCCTCCATCAGCAGCAAGGATGGGTGAGCACTCTGCCTTCTCTTGCTGGTTTTTTCTTCTTAATGTAGTCCAGGCTTTGGTATGCATAGTCTGACATCTGAAAATAGCGACTTCTGGGGGATCACTAAGGAAGATGTGGAAGACAGAATTAACTGGGTGCCCAAGCAAGGAAGTAGGTGTTGATCTCTCTTAGCAGTCGGGTTCAAGAGCCAAGACATGTCAGGTGATTCCCAAGCTCGGTTGACAAGGAAGCAGAGCTAATAGCCAGCTCTAGAAAGACCTCAGCTGTCATCTTATTATCATTTCTAATACAATGAGATGCTTATGGGAAGATGAAGTGACAAGCTGGATACTATGCTTGTCAAGAGTTTGAGTTTGATTCCATGTAAAGGAATTTGCTTCCTGTAGTCCCTGGAAACTGTGCACTATAAAACGGACCCCAATCCTAATGAGGATATTGGGGCAACCACAATGAAATCTCTCAGACGATAGATTATTTTGGTAGTAATTGAAGAGGTCTATGCAGAGGACATTGGCTGTAGTCCTGGCTGGAGTGCTCACCAAGTGCCAACTGGTTGGTACCTTTGAACAGCTTTCGCAAGCACTGTCATTTTCTCAAGCTCCTTAGCATTACGTGAAATAAAGTTCTGCTACTGGAAGGGTGTTTTCCTTTGTTTGGTGAAGAGAAATTTAAATCACTGTTGCACAAGTGAGTGCAATCATGCTTTGCAGGCATTTGGTGCTACGCAACTAGTTGACAGACCACATCGTAAATCTGTTGCAGATGAAAGCAGCCAGTCCAGTACTGTGCGTGGGAAGGGTGTAGGTAGTGGTGAAATGAGGAGGGATTCAGCCCTCTGTTAGCGCTGCTCGCTGCAGGGTGGGAGAGGAGGGGCTTTGACAACTCCTGGTTTTCTTGCACCTGAGTGCCTGGCTGCTGTGGGCAGAGCTTTGCGGCAGTTTTCTGTTCTGTCATTCTCTAGCAGAATCCTTTGCTCAGGGATTTATCGTCTTCAGCACTTTAGATCTGTGGCAATATTATTATTTTTTAATGCTTGTGTTTCTGGACCCTGTGCAAACACTTCTACACTAGTTGAGATAAAGCATGGCACTTGTCAAGCCAAAAAGTAATGCTGAGAACATATGAAAATGCACCAGCTTACTTTTAACCCCTGGTTGTGACAGCTCAAGTCAAATTTTCAGACTGGAGCATGTACTGTTTTCTTGTATGGTTGTTTGCAAGATGTTTGTGTGGGGTTACTGCACTGAATGTGCCAGTGGCTTCCATGGGGCTCGATGAGTGCTGTGCTCCCAATGAGGTCGGGCAGAGCTGGGTTCTCTGACCCTGTGGCTCCATCCTTTCCTGCCTGTGGAACCTTGACGGCTCCTGGCCTCTCAGAGAGGCTCTGGAGTCTTTAACATGGGCTGCTGCTTTCGTACACCGACGTCTGTCTGCTTCCTGGGCAGAATAAAGGAGTGAACCGTACTCTGTCATGTCTTCTACAGTTTTGCTGCCTCTCTGCTTTCAGCTTTTAGGTGTTTTACTCCACACTTGCTATTACCGACCGTTTAAAATGTCTGCTTGGTAGCATTGCTCAATGCTTGTGAAACTCTCCTGCTTGCACACGGCTGTGGGAGGAGGAGAGGCAGAGCGAGCGCTGAGC